TTGGAATCACCATCCGTCGATCCCCCGACAATCATATGGATCACCCCCCTTTTAGGAGCTCTCTCACCCTGCTCCTCTTGTCTCCGCTTCTTCTCTCCCCCTTCCACATCATCTTTCTTCTCCTTATCTAGAGCCACAAACTCCTTCAAATGCCCCGCTCTGATAAGCCTCTCAATCTCATCCTTGAGCTCCTTGCAGTTGTTCGTCCAATGTCCATAGTCACGATGGTACCTGCAATAAGGATCTCCTCGCACCGGCACCTGTCCTGCTTTCTTAGGTAGTGGATGAGGCTTCCCAAACATCTTAGTCTCCTCTCTCTGTTCCAACATCTCATACACCTCCCCCCTTGGTGATGTTAGTGGCGTATAATGCTCATACTTAAAACCCATACGCCCATTCTCCTCATTCTTGCTCTCCCTACCTCCTGACCTCCTCTCATCTGGTCTATACTTCTCATCATGCTTCTTTCCCATCGCTCGATCGTGTGCCAAGAAGTCCGCCTCCGTCTCCTCCATGTTCATATATTTGGCACACCTCTCCAATAGTTCATCATATGACCTTGCAGGCTTCTTAGCTAAAGAGTTCCTGCAATGTCCCGCCTTCAAACCTCGTGTGAGCCCCCCCGCTTTGATCTCTTCCGTTGCAGTGGGAACCTCCACACAAGCTCGCGTGTACCTAGCAACATAATCCCGTAGCGACTCATTCTCACGTTGCTGCATATTGATCAATGAGAGGTAGGTCTTCTCCTGCTTCCTTGCACTAGAGAATTGATTGATAAACAGCGAGCTAAATGCCCCAAAGCTATAGACAGATCCCGGTGGGAGCTGGTGGAACCAATCCTGAGCAGAGCCCTTCAAAGTCGTTAGAAAAGCCCTGCAACATACTCCGTCACTGTAACGATGCAACACCGCCACATTCTCAAAGCTCCTCAAGTGTCTAGCCGGGTCTGATGAGCCATCGTAGTATAGGTTAGGCTCCTTGAAATTCTGAGGCAACTCAGCACCCAAAACCTCCTCAGTAAATTGATTACCATGCAACCTGGGCAGCCGTCTCCCGTCCAACCTAGCTTGCATCTCCTTAATCTGGTTCGCCATCTGCTCCAACACCGTGTCTCTGGGTGGCCCATTAACCATCGGAGACATCACTGACCTCTCCTCTTGCTCTTTCCTCCGCTGGCTACCGCCACCCATCGCCCTTGGAACCACCGGAACGTGCTGCTCCATCACCGGGTTGATTATCGGCCCACCGTGCTCTAAACGACCTCCGCCCTGCTCCGGCTGCGCCACCACCACAACTGGCCTCACCACCTCCGCCTGTGCTCTCGCAACCAGAGCTCTACTAACCGCCTCCGCTATAAGACGGTCCAACTCCGTCCTGGTCACCCTCATCTCAGGCTCCCCTCCTCCCTGCACGACGCCTGGCCCCGGTGTCTGCACAATCACCTCATGGCTTCTTCTCTGCTCCGCCACCGGGATCTGGCTCACCACTTGCAGATTCACCTGAGGGGTAGCCGTTGGACCCTCACCTCCAGTCCACCCCGCCGGTGGTCCTCCTCCGTAGGGCGTTTGCGTGACCCAAGCCTCCTCCAAGTTCTCGTCCGAATTCCTCCTCAACGGTTGCTCTACTCCGATCGTCGTTTCCATCTTAACCTTACTGTCAATCAGTAGAGTAACCAAGTTACACCACTAGACGGCGCCAATTGATGTGCTCCTGCACTTGAACCGGCTTCCCTCTGCTCCCCGACCGCTCAGAGACCTGCAAAGACGCCGGGAGGTGCTCCCGGCGATAAACCTCCGACGCTCAAGTCATTAAGAGATCAAAGATAGAAGGAAGCTGTGTATAGAATTTAGGGTTTGTAGAATGTGTATCCTTACCTCCTCCAATGGTTTACCTATTTATATGAAGTTACTAGCTTGTTCCCTACGCTTTTGCTCTTCCTCCGTCGGATCGTTTATTCCTTTTTTATCCTAGCCTTACACGCGTCCCCTGTGAACCCTTTTAATAGCTTCCATATATGCTCGGCCATCAATAAGTCATTTCCTTCAAAGGTCTTCTCAAGGCAGCCAACGTGGCTATAAAGCCGAGCTATTATTGTGCCCCTATAAGACCGAACTGCCATAAAGCGGAGCTACTAGCATAACCATAAAGCCGAGCTAATAGCGTAACCATAAAGCCGAGCTAGTAGCATAAAGCCGAGCTACTATTGGTCCCGTAAGGCCGAGCTGCAACAGCTAATCCACTAAGCCGAGCAACTGCTCCTCATATGGTCGAATTAGCTCCTCCACTCAACTTACTACTTATTTTACTTCGGCTCAATAAATCGAGCCCGTCTCTGCCGGTCTACCGAGCTACTCTTAATATGCTATATCAGGTTCAGTAAAAAAAAGGAACCCATCAAGTTTGCATATGTAATGCAACTGATTAAGTTAATCCGAAAACTTTAGCAATGTAGTGAAGGATCAGACCAAGTAGCACGTCACTAACAAATTGTTTACTTCATTAGATTTATCATTTATATACTTGAACTTTCCATCCATGGACTTTCAACTCACACATAATGCTTGTCCGGATCAGCCTATTTTCTATTTTCCCATTATTTTATATGGAATACATTACCACATGAAGCTTTAAAATGAACAATTTCCAGGTTACGGAGACATGGAAATATTACCCTTCTTTTACCAAACTAGTAAGAAGCCCGTGCGATGCACGGGATGATAATGATCAATCATATAAATTATAGAAAAATATTTATTAATATAACAATGTAGCATAATATATTAATTTACTTTTTATCCTTCTTTTTATTTTTAATGATATGAAAAACCCATATAAATATTGTTTAGAGTTTTTTCTACATAAGTATATTAATTTTAACATTTGCACATCTAAGAAATACATAGAATTCCTATTAAATTTCTCTGTTTGAACTAATATCTTATTAGCATAATTTTTTTTATTCCATATCTCGTCTTAAAGTTATAAAATTGTGGTTAGATTTAAAATAATATTTATTTTGTAAATGAAATTAAGTCTCTAAAATAATTTAATACAAAGTGGATGTAATTTTATTTATTTCAAAGTTATAAAACTTAATTGTTTTCAATTAAGACACTTGATAAATTATAAATTAGTTAATGTTTTCCAATTTATAGTAATATACGTTAGTTATGCTTGAAATAAATGTTTACCTAAATTTTATATATTTTAGTATAAAATTTTTCTAACGTGTGCAGTCAAATACATCAAAATATATTTTTATGCTAAATTAATTTATTTAGTATTTATTTATATAGTAATTTTGTGCGATTATAAGTCTATCAATTTCACGAATTTAAAATGTTATATTTAAAATATCAATTCCAGAAATTTAATTTAATTTATTTTATTTTATTTTATTTTTTACGACTGGAGGTTTCCCCACGTTCACTCAGAGACTTCACCACGAACTGCCACCCCCCCCCCCACGAGGTGCAGGCCTAACGGCCTAAGGAACGATCAGAGGTGTGGGACTAATCCTCCAAGAGGAGTGAGGAGTGAGGTGCTCTATCCTCATTCCTCACGATAGTCACTGTCGATCCTCTGACCTTCGCTTCCACAGGGAGTTTCACTCTCCCACTAAGCCAGTGGACTACATGCCCTGGGGATTTGGGGGCACTACATGTCCTGGGGGCATTTTTAGTTGATACTGTTTTTCGGGTTTTTGGGTAAATAGAATTGACTATGAATTTGGAAAGAATATATAAATTTTTAAATTTAGTGAAAATATCTCTTAAATCATATATCCAATCCCAAGTTTTTAGAATTTTATTATGAGAAATTGTGTATTGTTTTTTAAACATAATAAAAATAAAAAATATCATATTTAAGAGGCTAGTGCCTATGAGATGCTACCAATTAACCATAAAATAAGATGTTAAAAAATAGTTGACGGAAACTACACGTATATAATTTTCTTTTGGTTTATCTTTATTTAAGATCCAAGAACAAATCAAACAAAATGTAATGTTTTATTCATAAAGAACCTATCACATTTATTGAAAATCAAAATAATTTAATTAACATCACACATATCTTGCATCCGTCAAAGACATCATGCCAAAAAATATGTGATATCTATATAAGTCTAAAAATTCAAAAACATTTAGATGTCCAAAAAAGACATTCAAAAAATCTGTAATGGATATCATGATATCATGCCAAGTTATAATAAAATGAAGGGAGTAATTTTTAGAAAAATTAACTTCGCAAATTTAAGGTCAAGAATTTTTTAAAAAAATGATAACAATTTTCCTTTATTAAGAACTTTATGGTTTAGATTAAGTTTTCTTAAACCAAAACGATTTTTGTTCCACAAGTGTAGTTTGTAGAAATGATATGTTAAAACATGTTTGGTTTTGATATCTCGTGGATTTTTGTTGCAAGTACTTTTCCCCTACGAAAGCTAATTCGAGTTATTATATTATGATAGTTTATTCTATTAAAATATGATATGATGTAGATAACTTTTTCCTTAAAAAATGATATAAAACTATTTGTTTTAGTTTTTTGCAATCTCATTAATTTCTTTTTAAANAGAAGATCTTCTATAAATTTTGACGAAAATTAAAAAATATCTAATTGTTATTGTAAGATATCAATTAAGGAAGATCTCAAAGTTTTTTATGTCAACAAATAATTAAACAATATCTCAAAGTTATTTATGTCAACAAAAAATCAATTAGAAAATATGAATAATATTTCTTAAAGCATATCCGGATTTTCCAAAAATAAACCCGGCTAGTATTTATTTAAACAAATGATATCCTAATATAGTAAAAAAGTTTTTTGGCGGGAAATAGTTACTATTTTAAAAATAATCAAACCTTTTTATATATATATATAGATTTATGTAGATTACCATCTAAACCTCTGAATGAAATGCATCATTGTGTCCGTAGCTTGCCTAATTGTCAACCAGAAATGCGAAAAATGACAATCAGGATTAATCACCTGTGGACCACATTTCTATTGTGCAGATACTTCAAACCATGCAAAATCTGCCTTGTATACGCTGAGGCTTGTGAAACTCGGAGCTCATACTTCTGGTACAGGCTCAAGAGGGAGCCTTTAGTAACTAGCTCAAGAAAACTATAGAGATGTGCTTCGTCCTACAAATAAGAATGACAAAGGCATAAGACATCATGTAAAAATGAACAGACTTTTAATCCACTCATCATTAGCAGTTAAAGGGGGAGACAAATAGAAAAATCAACAACAACAACAACAACATACCCATACCCAGTATATTCCCAACAGGTTGGGGTCTGGGGGGTCAGTTGTACGGACCTTACCCTTGTAATTATACAAGGAGGCTGTTTCCGTAGCGACCCAAGGTGCATTGCGCCGTTTGATATATATATATATATATATATATTTTTTCTATAAACTTCACCAATAGAAGAAGCATTAGAATTTAATTGAGCCATTTTGATCTAGTCCATTATTAGCACTATGCCAGGAGAATTGTAAAAGATAATAATATGACAACCTAACACAAAACAAGTGAAGGAAAACGATGTAATAATAGTACCTTCTTTGTGCCATAATATCGGACAATGTTCTCATGTTCAAACTGGCTTAGAAGAGCAATTTCCTAGAGACAGACAAAAAAGAAACAAAATATAAAGAGTTGGGGAAGAACAGGATACAACCTGACTCTGTTCCGTCAATAATCTGGAAACATAACTTTACATGGAGAACAACCAGCATCATTATCAGGATTGCTATACCTGTTCAAGTTGGATAATGCTATGCTTTCCCTCATCCCCTTGATCAAGCAATGATACTTCCTTGATGGCAAAAAAGAAACCGTCACTGCAGCAAAGAGAACAGTTATAAATTTACAGCCAAAGGAGTCGCCTGAAATTTGAGTTTTCCTTCATACAGACTGCACAAGTTATGTGATAAGTATATATCAAGATACTTGCAGCATAAGACATGTTTTCCTCACATCACCAGGGTTATCCTTCAATTACAATAAATTGCAAAAGCAAAATGAGCAAAGACATAGAAAAATGAGAAAATAGAAATTAGAAAAAAGGACACACTCACAAAGATCAGTCAATATCAATCTTGATCTAAAATTTTACAATCAGTGACATTCTATCTCTCTTTTTTTACTATCCGTCAAAATGGTTTACAACACCCGGAGCACACATGGAAAGGCAAATGGAATTTATGCTGAAAATTTGGGTCATTCATCTTCCAAAAATATAGATGAAAAAATATCGGAAGAATCGCGCCCCAATGTCAAATGTGCATCATCTATGTAAAAGATTATCACGTGCACACATCATCTGTCATCAACTAAGCTATGCTAACAGAACAACATTTTTCATTCAAGGGGGGAAATAGATCAATTCAAGCTAATTGCAATTAATCCACAAATTAAGTATGCCAGAAATGAAACATTGACGCAACAAATCCAGAAGTGCAAGCATACAAGTCGGAACAACCACATTTCGTCCACGCACAGAATCAATGATTGAATATACCATTAATGGTCAATCAAACACTTCACTTACTCATAAATCCCTTCATACACAGATCCGAATGATCCACGACCCAAAAGCTCTCCCTTCTGCCAATCCTCAATAACTCGCCTGAATTTCCCACTAGGTGAAAAACTTGATATCGGTGTTGTTATGGCACTTGAGGAATCATCATTATTTGAAAGTTAAGGAAAAAGAATATGACTCTGACAAAACAAAGTTCTCTTCCCCAGTCATCACCGTCATTATGAAATCCTTGTCCTGCTCATTCCTATCCAGACCATTCTCTCCATCCTCATCTGAACAAAAGCCTCTGTCAAACTGCGAAACACGTACGTCACTGTCCAATACAAATTCTCTCGAAGGATCCCAAGTAGAGCACAACAAAGGTGGTTGCACTAAAACTGTCGGTTGTACACCTTTAATAGCATTTCCTCTAGGCTCACTTGATCTATAATTTACATTATTATTTAAAACAACACCATTAACCATCGTATCATCCTTTAGCCCCTTCGGTAGATTGCTAACATCACTGACAAACGCACCAGCCCCAATTCTATCCATATAAGCAAAATCATGATCTGAAACTCGAATACACGTATCAATCTCTGGCCCCATTTCCCGGTGAATTACATCAACCGCCTCAGCGCCACCACCAACGGCATCACAATCAAAATCAACTTTACCATATACAGGCTCAAAGTTCTGAGCGAACATCACTAGAGCAGACATCGGGCTCCCCTTCATCGCATCAAACTCCTCCGGCGATATAGCAAAATCATCAATTCCGGAAAATCCATACGTCTGGCAGATGAACTCGAACTCACCCTCCGTACCGTTGATACGGAAGCTCATCTGACCGCCGGATTCCGCACGCGCGTGCGGCGATGCAGATGCTGACGCGAAAGGCGACAGCTCATAGTCGACGTCCTTGAAGGCGTAGCTTCGGTCAAGCCTCCTAGGCTTTGAGGCCTGGTGGCTCGAGCTGGTACTGCTCTTGCGGCGGTTCAGGCTATTGGAGAAGATTTTCGGTAGGCGATGCATCCCCGGCGGTTGCAAGCAAAATCCATGTATCGCTCGGCAGAATACCTGAGCTCGTCCGGAGTAAACGGCCACCGGAGATTAATCTTGGTCGTTCTGATTTTACTTGCGAAATTTCGTGGCGAGCGACGAAGGAAACCGACAGAAACCACAATTGGAGACGGCGTCTGACGGTGGAAAAGGAGTCGCGTGAGTCTGTTGACTGCCCCACTGACCACTGATTGCTGATTATTATTATTATATATATTTGATACTAGTTTGATTCCGAGTAGTTTATTTATTTCAAAAAGAGAAAAATTAAATGGACAAAAAAAAAAGGAGTAGAAAAAAAATTTAAAGGACGTATTCCCGTAATACGTTTTCTAAATTAAATTTAACTAAAAAAACGTATTCTTGTAATACGTGTTATAATTATATTTGAAAATTAAAAATAAATAGTTCCGTTTAAAAGAAAAAGAAATAGAATAAAAAATGATAATTTTAAACCGTATTTCCAAAATATAACCCCTAAATTGATTTAGGGTTTCAAAAAACGTATTTTGGAAATACGTTTTGAATAAAAAAAAAGACGAATGTGTTTTTTATAAAACGTAAATTTTTTTTTTTAAAAAAAATATATATATATATATAAACGTATATTAAAAATACGTTTTACAATTAAATACTTATAAAATGTATTCCGCCAATACGTTTTACAACTAAATATAAAATAATGTTATCTTCTTCTTCTCCATTCATTTGCGCGATTCAACCCCAATTCCCCAATCCAGAGCCTCCAGAGCAAGGCGG